CCCTGTTATGACGGAATGAAAAGTCAAAATTAAATTGATTTACTCATTATGATTTTTATTCAATGTTCATTTCGTTTAATTCAATTTGATGATCACGCAGTATGGTATTTGTTTCGTTTTCCTCTATGACATTTTGTTCTGTATAACATACGATATTATTGTATGCAGTATTTTTCATATATGTGATTTATTCTGATTATTAATCAAAAACGAGTGTACAAACTATTATATAAGTGAGTGTATTTCCGACTAGACTTGTCGTGGTTGCTCGTGCTTCTGGCTGCTTGAGGAATATATTTCCCCGTTCGAACTTGGACTTCTCGGGGCTGGGACGCATCAGATTAGCTAGCCTATTGGTCTTTGGTCACAGTCTTTGTTCCGTTCGCAGACCAGGCGAACTCGTAATCGTTTCAAAATTAGCAGACCCTGTATGTGTGTTTCAGAGACGTAGCATACACCAATAGTACGAGATTCTAGGGTCTTAGCCAAGGAGGCCATCTGACCGATTTGACACAGGGTACGTACGTTGAAGACTCTAATGTGTAGTTTGGGACGAGGTTTCAGTAGACCTGGGGTATTATTTTACGCACTAAAATCGTTGGCCATGGTGACGCTTGAGGCGCAAGTTTGGAGTTGATAGGCGGAATTGAAGAGGAAAATTGATCATGAATATAGTGGTCTTGAGTGCTATTAGAGGTATGAGGATGGTTATCGAAGTTTTCCGTTATAAGGTGATGCAGTTTTTATGGCACTTTCAGATGAGGATTCTCTACTGGAGATTAGTCAGACCATGAAGTATATAACTTAAGAGCTATCTTACTAACCCAGACCCATGCATTGCAAACATTTCATATTCATCAAGTCGTTCCACTTGTTTTGTCCATACGTTCTCCGTATTGTAATCCAATCCCACACAGTTTATTCTAGCTTTCTGACAGATCAGTTTATTAGTTCTTCTCGAGTCAAATTTTGACCTTATCAGTTATTCGCTTATTAACCCTTACTTTTCATATGAGTTTACGTGTGTATTGCTTACCCTATTCATTATACGTTTAGCTTATTTTTATCTGGCTATAAATACTGAATCGCTTTATCAAATTAAGTTAGTATGCTTGCCTTCTCCGATCTGCTCCTCAGCTTCGTTTCTCTAACTGTCTGTCTGGATCAACGAGTGTATGAGATGTACGTATCTAGAATTCATTCTCCTGTTTGACTTATTTTATTCCGTTATCCATTTACGCGAATCAACTCGACAATTATACGCGAGGGTTGGCGACATGTATATTTCGTTAACATCATCATGCGATCAAACTGAAGTCAGATCACTGACCCACTAAGATGTGTATAAGAGTGGATAAATAATTGATCAATATTTCCCGACTTGTGCCTATTTTTTACAGATATTTTTGCTTTATTTTAGTCGTGCTAGCTCTCAGTTCACAGGACGTTGGCGAATATCATTCGGAGCTCAGAGCAAAAGAATTTAAACTTATGGGCTTCTTTGTTACTTAAACGAGATGAAGTGCTATTATGAATTGTTAGGTAAGTATATAGAAATGTCATTTAAACTGCTAGGTGTCACACAAAATGTGGAGCAAGTTGATCTTAAGAAGGCTTACTACAAACTATCGTTACAATGGCATCCAGACAAAAACACAACAGAGGATACAACTGTAATATTTCAAGAAATTCAGGAGGCTTACAAGTATGATTTTATAATTATTAATAGGCGATTTAATCGTTCATGATGAACATTTTGTTGAAAATAATGTTCATGTCAGTCTCGTTTTTTGTAAGATTTGTAGATCACGGCTAATTTTTAATTGGGTCACTTAACACATGGATTAACTGAATAACAGAAAAACTCCATGTTCATAGTTAGGACAATACAGTTTCCAGAAGCGCGAAATTCCTATTACAGTAAACCCATCGCTCTAAAAAACTGCGATAATCCATATTGCCTAAAACAAGTTTTTAGTGACCCCATCGAATGTCGAATTATTTTGTTATAGATAATCCTTCCCATCTTAATTCTCCCTCATTACAAAGTAGTTGAGAAAATATCGTAAACACACATATTATACCTTCAGCTTTTCGTCGATGGAAGTCTGTCAAATAATCCACTTTGTACTTCTAAATCATACGCTACTCCTGAGCTGTTCACCAATTAGTACCACTAAATATAAATGACACTCCAAATATACTGCGATCAGACACCTAATCATCCTCTTTTTACTTTCAATAGTTAATCAGTTGTGCTGCTAACCATCCATTAATTTTTCCGATTAAATATTGGCAAACAAGATAAATGTTTGGAAGTTTAGGTCAATCAGTCATAAACATCGTAAAACCTAGCGTAATATGCATTGGTTTCAGTTACCATACCGCATCAGAATAGAGTGATGAAACTATCGAAATGCAGGGTCAAAAGACTAGGCGTATAGAATGAAACTCGAGAAGAAAAAATGAATTTGCGTGATAAAATAGTAAATAATTTCAAAACTCGGGATCTAAGGGAAGACTAACAGTGGATGCATTTCCACCAAGGTGAATAATTCTAATAAAAACTAAGCTAGTTTCCTGAATCCGTGCCAAGATTTCATCAAGCGTCAACCCTTGAAGGTTGACGAGACTTTCAGGATAAATGAAGCGGTCATCTCTTTCGACTACTTTATTTATTATTAGTTCATGGGTTGACGCAGATCTAAAGCAACATTTTACATTTAGGAGGTACGTAGTACACCCCAAACATGCTAGCACCGTTACTCAAGATGGTGAGAAGTTTGTATTTTGTGAGCATCTTCACCGAATAGAACTGTTTCATCTACATATTCCAAGTCACTAACTGAGTCTACTGGTAGATGATATATTCACGAAAATTTAGACAACTAAATCGTCACCTCTAGAAAGATGTCTTTGACAGATTTATATAAAAATGGAGGATAGTGGGCAACCTTGATGTAAATCACTTGATATTGTCATTTTGATGACAGTTTGGTATGGTCTCCGGTTCTACTAGTAGTGTTTAAGTAGATATTCTTCGTAAGGTTCGTGCAATTCCTGTGTATACTGTGCTGTCTTGTAGACTGCTGACTAATGACACATACCTATTCGCCACTCAGAATCATTCCAATTTTTATCTTTCCCGTCTACTATTTCTTCTATGGTCTAGTGTCCCAAACTTGACCAGTTATACACCTGACCAGTACTGTTGACCTTGAGCTACCAGAGCTACGTCCCTGTCAGTTCATTATTCGCAACCTTCTCTCCATGCACTCCCTCGAGTCCGAAAAGTAAATAGCCAACTATTATATTTGTTCTGTTACAACATATACCTTTCATTAAAAGACAAATGGATAAAACCTGTCGATCAACAAAGTCAATTGCTACCCTAAAATCAAGAAATACCACTATAGTTGGTTATAAACACAGGTGTAGTAATCTAACTCACAATAGCCATGCTTTTTGTGACTTTGGTGTAATACAAACGCTATAATACTTGGAAGTCTTGGTTTTGATATTGTGTAGATTGGATGTAATAGCTGTTTTGTGCTCTCTGTCTACCTGTATTATTTCAAATTCCCGTTTAAGTGACTACAACTTAGCGGATAAAATTAACTGAGCTAAAGATGGCGAAAATCGAGGAGGTTGTATCAAACACTTATAACTTTCCATTACTTAACCCATAAAAAATGCATTTAGGAAACTTTCCACAGGATCTTTGTGCCTTTTTCCTTTACTGCTTGTTAGCTTCTTTAAAGCTTCCATATGCAGTGGAGAAATATATCTGATAAAATATTTTGTAAATCCTATTTGGATTATATATATAACTTTCCTTAATAACATTTTCAGAGTTTTATCTGATCCCCAAGAACGTGCTTGGTATGATAAACATCGAGCTCAAATTTTACAGGGAAATGGTCGTGGTACTCAAATGGGTGAAACATCAGATTATCAGGAGAGCCGAGTCGATGTCTTCCAATACTTTACAAGATCTTGTTTTGAAAAATTTGATGATGACGTAAAGGTATAATCTGATAGTGTTCTAAAACTTCAATTACTATGGTCTCTAGATAGTTCGTCGATTTTTTCAGTTATTATTATTCTTCCGTAACTTTGATTGCGCCATATGTTAGGGATAACTTTACAAAGTGTTGCTCATCTGCTATAAATACTTGTATTCAACTAGACTGTAGTTAGTACCTTAAAGTGGTGGTCGGGCTTGTATGTCGTGATAACCTACTAGAGCTTTATTTATTGGGACATTAGTCCCTTTATGTCTTACCATACCAGACACGTCTATTGGAGAGTGACAAAGCTAAAAGCAGTTAAACCATAGTCCGAGGGTGAAGCTGTGCTACCGACTGTACAAGGATTTAACAGGATTAAGGTGTTTTTTCTCTCACACAACCAACATCTACATCGATGTTGTCTTCTCACGATGGAAGAAGGAGATTAAAGGCCCCAAAAACATAATACCGTTACCTTGTCCTATGGATTTCCGTAAAGTAATAAAAGTACGGATATAACATTTAAAACGACCATAAATGCTCCATGTGATCAGGCTCTGAAATAACGCTCCCAGGTTGTCAAGACTATCCCTAACCCAGTTTTTCAATGAGATATCTCAAGAAGAAACATTCTTCCAGAATGTGGGTTAACTGGGGATTGATAACCACCTTTATATCTTTGACAGCATTCGAGATCTTGTTCACAATTCAATCCCATATTCATTATCGAATACACTTGTATGAAGAGTTGTTGGTCTTGAATGGGTCATAATTAGTAAAATAAATTTAGCGAACGTTCTTGTACTGGACTGTGATCTTTATTTACTGTTTCAGTATTGTTTTCGAATCAGTAGTTATCCATTAATTTTATCAACTATTTGACTCAACAGCCACATGAAAGATTGTTACATCTAGTAGTTATCTACATCTTGTGCTTAAAGACTAATGGTTTGATGTATGACTCAAATTGAATCGACCGAAAAAGATGTAAACAAATATCCAGCTCAATGAACACCCAATCAACAACAAATATTTGTATTGATTTGTTTAATCAATACTCATTGTATACCCCATCTCCTCTTAATGGGTTATACGAATATATTGAACAATGAGATATATACATTTAGTGCATAACTAACATAGAAACTTAGATTACTTCGTGTTCATTGTGGTTTAATTGTATTTTAGGAAATTTTTAGGCAGTATGGTATTTGAGAAATTTATATTCAAAGATTAAGTGAATACACAAAACGGAATGTCATACAAAATTGATTCTCTTCATAATTTTGTCAGTTGAAAATAATAAAAAGTTAGAAGATACTGAGTAGCTGTTTCATCGTATTACGAAAACTATTCTTTGGGACAACTTTGACTCCTTTCATAGAGCCTCATTTAAAACATTGAGGCTAAATTTAACAACCTAATTCAATGTTAAAGTTTATCATTCACTGAGTTCTAGTAATGAATCTTTAGTGAGATCATAATTTATGAACGACCATTAAGCTATGTGAAAGTGGAAAATTCACCTACCTACTGGGATTAAAAGAGGGTTATAAACTAGCGTGGGGAACAAGAATGGGGATCAGGAGTCAGAAGTTAGGGTTAGGAATAAGAGTTAGTGTTTTCATCACGAGCTAACACCAGCTTTTACTATGTTTGAAGAAATTACGAAATCATCCTAATCAGCGAATGAAACAAAGGTTCAGCAAACAATGACAAGACAAGCTAACTATTTGGAAATACAATATGACGGTGAAAATGGATGCTTTTGGCGCGAAAACAAGAAATTCAAATCTCCAACATAAAATTACAAAAATAAGACTTTTATCAAGTGATTTCTGGGACTCTAGAATCCTCAACAGCTATAATGTCCGAATGTTATATAACTTTATGAATGAATTGATTTCGCGTCATAATATGTCATCTTTAATCTCATTGGTATGTCCATAAATTCTAGTCTCACTGAATATTTCACTTGTATGTATCTTACTGGCACTTCAGCTGTTTGGAATCTTATGTGAATTCAGGTTATTTCGTTTTAACGGTTCAAGAGCTCAAAAGCTTGTGATTATAAGTAATTTTAAAGTGGAAAATTAATAAATCCCCGTAATCCAGTTGGTGATTTCGCTTTGAAAGTACTTGAATGAATTGGTCATTGAAAGGGCGATTATGCATTCAACCCGAATAGATCATAAACACCGGACATACGGAAGAAAATGAGTTCTATCGGTATTGTAAATACATGCAATTGGTATATCTTCACCAACAATTAGATTTTTCTTTTTCTTCTAAACGTTATCATCATTAAATTTGATAAAACCCCAATTTCTCTACAATAGTTTTTTATCGTACAGACTTATACTACTTTTTTGTTTAAAGTAGCTATAAATGGTATTTTGTCATTTTATGTTTCAGGGCTTTTATACTGTATACGCTAAAGTATTTGCCGATATAACTGAAGAGGAGAAATGTGCAGCTAAGTTTTCTGGTTGTACCATATCGTCTAGTGAAAGTGGTAGCGATGATGATGAAGATGACTGTAAAAAATACTCTAGACGTAAATCACGAAGTTATCCACCTTTTGGTTCTTCCTCGAGTCCATACAAGGAAGTTGTTGCTCCATTCTATTTATTCTGGGAAATATTTGAAACAAAAAAAACATATACATGGGTTGAAAAATACGACACACGACTTGCAGATTCACGTCAAGTGAGTATTTATTTGTTACGTTCTATTTTGCACGTATCTGAAGGAATGAGGATTTGCAGTAAAATCACAGTTGGTTTCCATTTTAAAACTTATTCATCAATACACATTATATCATAATAGTTTATTGCCTTGATCAAAAACCCGTCTAACTAAAGATTTAAGAGACAACAAAAAATTATCACTCAGAAAATGAGTTGCAAAAATGAAATTAATAATGATGAACGATTTATTTTCGTGTCAATAATTTGTATACAAGTCTCCTCCAGTGGGCATCTACATTATATCAGTTTATTTAGGGGTTTCCATCAGTTGTTACTTGATCACATCTTTTATTTATCGATCGGTATTCTACTCATTTTAACAATTACAACGCTTATTCACATTTACAATCCCAATTCATAATAACACCACACGATAGAGTGCATTTAACATGTTGTGTTCACTTTTTCGTCATTAAATTATACTATTATCTATTATCGTCTAATAGGAACGTCGTGCAATGGAAGCAGAAAATAATCGTATGAGAATGTCTGCAATACGCAAGCGAAATGAAGAAATACGTCAATTGGTAGCATATGTAAAGAAAAGGGATAAACGTGTAATTGCTGAAAATGAACGCATTCAACGTATAGCTAAAGAATCTCAAAATCGTACTAAATTATTAGCCGAAAAAGCTAGACAGCGGTAATTGTTAATAAAGAATTTCATATTCTTTTAAAATATTTTGTTTATTAACATTGTCGAATATTTTTAATCTTCCCACTGATGTATAGGACTGCAATTGATCAGTCATTTCTGATATCTATACTGAGTAGCGAACGTTACTAGGTTCGAGTCCCTGGATAAACATCAACTTTAGGATGAAGGTACATCAGGCTAGCGAGTCTGAAATAGGACAAAACGCGCGCGTCCTGGATTCCACTACTTATTGTTGAACACTACTTTTTAGTTGTTTTATCATCAATAAATTTATCTGTATATAAAGTTAATTTCAGTTTGATACATCAAAAACTATGTAAAATCATAAAATTTATGTATCATCTATGAGATTCATTTAAATCAGTATTTATTCTGTTTTTCATCCACGAATTTCTACAGTAAACTATTCTTAAGATGATTGTTAGATTAATTGAAGCAAAATTTCAATCATATCAAGATGAATCTGACACCGATGAATATCCTTTTCATGCTTAACTTATGGTGAGTCAAATGGGTGTTAAAGACTTCCTTACAATGATCACAATTATACATCTTATGGACCAAATCCAGACCGTAATAAAACTGTTGAACCTGATGATCGTTTGTATCTTTTAGCAAAGTTAGCATTGGCAAAGGATGGCGATTCAGAGGACTCAGGAGAAAACATCCAGGACACTCCAGTTTACCCTGCAGACTAACTGGATTCTTGAGTAAAGTTCCATGATCTCAACAACCTCTTACACTAAAACTAACCACATGTAATGTAGAGAACATCAAAAAATGTCGAATTTACTGGGTTTTTTGAAGGTAGATTTGATTACCCGTAATCAATTACTACGTGTGTTATCCGCCTAACCCACAGTTTTTGTCTCCTACATTTTGACTCCTATTAGGAAGGCTGTCAGTAATAATGATAATAATATTATATATATATATGAGTTGTCGTTATGTTTATATATACATATATATATATATATATCCCTGTCTACTGATTATACTTTATATTACAGAGAAGCAGCCCAATTACACGAAGCTTGGAATGATGAAATTGCTTTTGGTGGAATCGCATCTCAGTGGTCGGAACAATTTGAAGCTGAGATAAAACGTTTAGAAGCAGAGCTTGATGGTATCAATTTAGACGATCCGCTACAGGTGATTCATTACAATCTAAGATGATGATAACATTACTAAAAATGATTTTTAAGTAATTTAAATATATGTACCATAGTATTTCTGTTATTCTCCAGCTGTGAAATGTCTACTATTTTTAGTAGTATTCTATGTAGTTAACCTCACCAGCATCTTTGATGACGAAATTTTGTGACGTAATTTATTTTTATTGTGATATAATCATGTTTTTGTTATAACGGGCGGTGTCCAAAATCTGGCCGGCTTACCATATCAGTTTTACATATAGTTATTCAGTTTAGACTTTACAATAATCTGTCATCTGAATTAGCTACTTTCAGTACTCTTCATAACCGTTGATTTTTAATTTACATCTTCATAGTTATTTATTCTCCTAGAAAAGTATATCAGATTCCTACTAAAGGATTGATCTCTTATTGAATTCCGGTACTTGGATGATCACTTCAAGTTTATTAAGATTATATACTATTCAATGGTATTTAACTATTATTGTCTCTAAACTATTGTTCATGTAACCATCTATGTTATAATTTAAGAAATTGCATACATTCTGATATTATCTACATTGTTCAATCTTGATAATCTCACTAATTTTCTTGTAGTTATTCGTATACATAAAGAGAGTTGACAATATTTTAAAGGGTTATTGAAAAACAATTACTTTTTTGGAAAGATCCTTTTTTTTATTGTATTCACTTATATGTATATATATTTCTTTTGTCTATTTATAGAAGTCTTCTAAAGCCAATCATGTTATAACCATTAATAATCCTCATAATTCTATCGATAATGAAACTGATCATATTAATAATAAACAAGGTCAGAATACTGATACTGATGATGGTGATAATAGTAATGATGATGATGATGGTGATAATAGTAATGATGATGATGATGATCTTGTTCAGGAGACAATTAATGATGAATTATATTGTATAGCATGTGATAAATTATTTGCTTCAATCAAAGCAAAATTAAATCATGAATTATCAAAAAAGCATAAAAAACAATTAGAATTATTAAAAAAATTAATTCATGAAGAGAATAATATTTTACAAGATCATTTCAACACTTTATTATTCATGGAACAATCTTCTAATAATCATCTTATCAACAATAATTCTATGAATAATAATAATAATAATAATGAACAATCTAATATAAAATTAACTAAACGAGCTAAAAAAGCTGAACGTCAACGTAAAAAACAATTAGAATTACATAATTCATCAATTTCTCATTTGAATGAACAATCAAATTCAATAATTGAATTGAACAAAGATGTGACAAATGATAATAATACTGAAATTATAAATGAAACTAGTAATTGTGAATTAGGTTAGTTAAATTAAAATATAGATTCAATGCTTAGTCTGTTTGTTTGTTTATTTCTTTGTTTTGAATGTAATCTCTCGAGTGAGTGGTTCTCACTCAAGAGTGAGTGCCTTGGTGCGGCCGAGAGTGGGGAGAGTCCGCTCTATCTCTCGAAATGCTCTCACATGGCCACGCTTATATAACCTCTGCCAGGGAAGTCCTACTCATTGCCTTCACGTGGAGGGGGTGTTGTTTACGAAATTGAAAGCACGAAAAGCGAACGTCTGGCGCTTTAACCGGGTTGGTGGACATGGAGAGTCCACTTAGGGGAGTTGGAGAACCCTGACTCCAAACCAATGGTGCACATGGGCTCCAGTATCCTGAGTGAACAAATAGCGTATAAACCAATCGTTGGTCACCGGCTACCATGAGATTGCATCTCCTTACGATGCTCCACTGCCTTGTGAATCAGACCTTCAGGTCGAAGGCTCCGGGTGTGGCCCCCTAAGAAAACCACCTGCTTCGGTTTGGGCACCCGGTCAGTATCACAGCCCTCACACATATCAAATGAGATCTGTGTGGAGCATATATCTCCTTGCATCAATATCTATGTGTTAACATGTATAAATAATAATCTCTCGAGATAATATATAACCCTATGGATTCATGAGTCAATCTAAGCTAAACTACTGAGCTGGTATCCAACGGTGTTAAAATGTTTAACTTCAGTCGATCCGTTCGCGTGGGTTTGAGTTCTAGGTTTGGGATCGTGAATGCGTACTACTGAGGATTCCTATACCAGAACGAAACAGTCGTCCAATGCTTCCAGGTTTTCAATGATGTTCCAGCTTAGATTGATTCGTGAATTCAACTGTTAAGATATTACAACTCTTATACTGATAATATATAACTGCTGGAAACAAAATAAATAATTGGTTGATAGTCGAAGGTTATGTGACTTAATCCATTGATCAATAGTTCTACTGCAATGTATTATCGTTCTGTTGAGATAGACTAGTCAATTCTGTACACATTCATTTTATGTAATGCATAGAAAGTTCTTTTTCAATTCTCTCCATAGATGTAATGTTGTTTATGAAACGTTTGTTTCTAAATCACATTCCAGTTAATTATTAGCTCTTTGAATAAAACTTTACCGAATGACTCAAGCGGTGATAAATGGTGGATAGCGGTAGAATCCAGGAATTACGTTTCGTCCCATTTGGGACTCGTCAGCTAGCTACCATTTATCTCGGCTTATAATGATTGTGACCTACTAGTAATATCAAGGCAAACAACGCAGGACTCACATATTCTAAGAGAGGCTGGTCAGTTGCAGCCCTAAATATCAATGAGAAGACCCAAACAATAAATATATATGAATGACGTCTGATTTTTAACTTTATCTCATGTTGTCGCTACAAGATCCATGTTGTTTGTCCTGTATGAATTTGTCGTTTTAACAGATTTTTAGTTTAACTGAAGGGGTTTTCTAAAAATTGATTTAATTTGTAGGTAGGTTGTAGTCATCAAGATTTTCCTCAAGTTATCTTGTGAGGGTTGTAACTGGTGAAGTAGTGAGACAGTCTTCATCAGTGGTATTAGATAATCGTCGCGTTATTTCGCGAATTAATTAAACTTGGAATTGTACCATTGAACGCTAGCTTAATGGTGTAAAGGTTCAGAGCTCTCTGTGAGAACCTGAAGGTCTTGAATTCTATCACTGGTCGTCGGTATGCACTGCTGATAAGTCTTATACTAGGGCGAGTCAACTGTCCAATTTCTTTTTTTTTCAACAATACGTCAACTAAGACCAATCTATGAAGTGTGTCTTTAATTATTTTTACTTTAAATAGAGAAAAAACAACAATACGTTTTTTTCTGACATTTACAAATTCGAGTTTTGTGGTAGGTTTTTTTCCCTAGTTCATTATATTTGACGATTGAGCATTGGAGATCTAAATAACCTGACATGACTAGGTCTGAATCATCATTTATCAGTTATGCCATGTTATAAACGTTTCTCTCTAAATGACAAGTTATACTTTTTACAGAGTTGCCTTTGGTTATAATGAATACTCTTTCCATATATATATGCATAGGTCTAAGTGTATATGTGTAGATTTTCATTTCTTTATTTGTTTATTTATATTTAATGATGGTTTTCGACTGTTTTTCATTTAACTCAATACGTGTACTGTAGTTAATAGCTGTCAAAATATCCTATTTATATGGTTAATAAAAAAAGAGATGGTTTTCGATATAAACGCCAACTTTTTCTAATTCAATTTCTTTTTTTTTCTTTTCTTTAAACGCTCATCATCCAATGCGTATTGACTAGTCGTCATCTTTTGTTTAGACTAATTTTTGGCATTGGATAAAATCTATACACAGTGATAATGACACTTATATCAATCCATAGTATGTGACAGTAGGGAGTAAAGGCGTTGAATTTATAATCACTAATCCATTTATTGTGATAATCTAGTCAAAAACATATCTGTAGTGATAATTAAACTCTTTTTGGGGGATTTTAAAGTTCGTATTTCTAAAGGAACCCAAGCCTGATGTCTGTCTGTCGAGAAGGTATTATATATATATATATATATATATATATATTCAAGGAGATAAACACAGCAAGAGTCAAAGATGATCATATGAATATAGTAGGACAACTAATGAAAGGACATTTAGTTTATTTTTAACCAAAGAAATAAGAGGAGAAAAATTACGTGATGAAAACTAGCTATTCATGAGTAATACAAGTCATAGTACACAAATCTTTCATAAGTAGTTCAACTATTGCAACTCGTTTAGATTGCTAGAATAGCACGAAAAAATAGTCCAGGTTTTAAGTAGGTCTATACGATCTAAATGTGTGTCTGTCTTGAAAAGTACTTAACGAGAAGATATGTTGTACAATTATCAAAATGACAGTAGGCAGTGCTGTACAACTTCACGATATCGATTAATACTGTCAGGACTGTAATGTCAATATACGTGATATTTGCCGTTGTATAGGTAAGCAGTAAGTTGAAAGAAATCTAGGAATGGCCAAACCAATACATTATATTAATCCATAAAGTCTTGATAGTTTCATTTTGATATGTTATGCGATAAATTGAACTAGTGCTTATCAGATTGATCGACAATATCAGTGGAACATATCATTGAATTTTGATATAAATTGTATTGGGATCTGCGAGACGATAGTAACCGATGGTTAGAAACCTTGAATGACATGGCTCAAAATCGTTTCCAATGGCGCAGGTGCATCCAGTCTTTGTGTTCTTCCAAATTCTAATCTTTTCCCAATTTATTTCACTGGATTATACTCCTTGAATAACATCTTCACAACCCTAATCTTTCTGATTACTGCTTATAATTTTACTACCTCTACCACTATGGGATTTGAGTCGACAATTCTATCTCTGTGCTAATGTGGTATGGCAACTTGAACTGATGTATGCACGTACGAAAATCTACGTTGCTACTGACTGTATTGAATAGCTAACTGTTCAGATTTCTCTTTGTTGTTGTTGTTGACTAAACTATATGCAAAACATTAGAAATTGATATTGTTCATAGATTGCTGATACATTTCACGTTGTCACAGAGATTGTTGACTATCGTAACCAATGGTTGGAGACTTTGTATGACATGGCTCAGGATTGATCACAATGGCCGTGGGTGTATACACTCTCTGTCTTCCCTTAAACTATAAGATTAAAATCGTTTCATATCTTTCTTTCTACGAACTAATTCTTTCTTCCTATACTATATCCTTATATGTAATCTTTCTTTTATATAGTACCACCACTGAATTAATCACTTTTATGAATCCGGTATTCACCTTGTTGTGCTAATGATGAGGCATGGTAACTTAGACCTAGTCCCACGTTGTAACTGACTGGCTACGGAGATGTTGAATAAGTTATTCATTTATTCAATTTGATTAGATCATTGTTATTTGTCTATTTTTATTATCTATTCTATATATATATAGATGATACTACAGTACAATCAACAATAAATACCAATAATAATTTAAACAAAGAATCATCTTTAAAATATTCTGATCAATCTACAATAAAACAAAATGAGAAAACAATATTAAATTCTTCAAAAATCAATAAAATTATCTGTGATACATGTTCTATAGAATTTCAATCAAGGAATGCTCTTTTTATTCATTTAAAACAATCAGGACATGCAAAATTAATCAAATTGAATATACCATCATCATCATCTTCTTCTTCTAATACCAAAGATATTTCTAATGAAAATAGAAAAAAGTGTAAAGAAAAAAAGAAATCAAAACGTTAATTATTATACACAAATTTTGTAGTATTTATTTGTTTAATATGAAAGAAATTGTATATATACTACTGATTAGTGTTTTTAATTAAATAAGTAATATATATATATTGATATTTGTATGAGTTTATGTTTTCCTATTGTTGATATTCACTTCTAAAATCTAATTTTGAATGGATTACTTCAACATTGCCCCCAAATACCCTGGCACAGCTGTGAGTGGGGAAAGTCAGCTCTCCCTCACGAAATGCTCTCACATGGTCACGTGCATACAACTTTAGTGGCTGTGCTTTGCTGACCAATCACCCTCGTAACCGTTATCATATAATCCTCAACGGTGTTGGAAATCAGAAGGCAAAGAGAACCAGAGACTACAGTTTTATTGGCAGATAACTCAGAGCACAAAGTAGTGAGGCGAATGATTGAGTCAGCGAACCGAGTGTTATATATATATATATAAGGAAATGAATGGATCATCGAATCAGTTAAGCAGTTAATAATAAAGCTAGCAGAATGAATATATACAAAGGCGGTAGGCCATGTTCAAGCATACATATTTCATACAAGCACAACAATAATAAAGGTACAACGATATAAATAAGCTGTTGTAGTAGAGATGACTCTGTCCGCTAAAGAAGTTAACAGAGAGGCTTAGCCCAATTAGTTGTGGATAAACTCAGTTGCGCGTGAGCTGCTATACAACCACTAGCAGGGAACTGCTAATCACTGCCTTTTCGCGGGGGGGTGTTGTTTACGAGATCGAGAGGACGAGAAGCGAATATCTGGCACTTAAACTGGGTTGGTGGATATGGAGTATCCACCTAGGTGAGTTCCAAAACCCTCATTCTAAACCATTGGTGTACATGGGCTCCAGGATCGTGAGGAAACAAATGGCGTATGAACCCATTGTGGGTCACTGGCTACCATGGGACTGCATCTCCTGATGTTGCTCCACTCATACTCGTCGTACAGGTTATTGACCATGAAGATTCTGTAGCTCGGAGGATCGCGTGTTGAAATTTGAAGAGATATGTACTGGATTTTAGTCCCGGTGCGAACAACAACATCAAGATCCAGCTACATCTAGTTCACAAATCTCAGACGGTACAGAATATGTATCTTGAAATCCACTTCTATCCACTGTCCGAATTGAATGAATACACGTTAAGATATTATCATCTCATAGAGATTGGTGTAAGAACAAGTGTAGATTTCTTATTAAATGTCTCGTTGTCTTTGAAAGAATGACAAACTTAGTCACTTGAATCTAAAGTTATTTTCGTCACGTAACTAATTTACCATTATTGTACTCATCTTTAACTATATTTTGTAAAAATTTATGATACTACGTGACTAACAAAATTGGGTTCAGACTTGTAATCTGTATGAAAGTCAAATAATTTAACCACTAAGCCATCACTTTAAATGATGAACTATTTGAAATTGTGAATTATTCTAAATAATTCGGACTCAAAAAGAGTATCGGTGTATCATAGCCATCATGAGAAGTGGGAATCCTGTGTGAATTCATTTTTGAGGAGTTTAAAATTGGGACGAAACAGTTATACATGAGTTGTTGGTTTTTAATGGTTTTCCTGGTGATAACCATATGTAACTTGAAACTATTTCTTATGAATCTCGAACTTTGGTTATATGCATCAAACGGTAAACTTGACGTAAACATATGTTGTTCAGATAGTTATTCAGATTATTAGATATCATTGCAGACTGTGGAGGTAATAATAAAACCTAATAAACACTGAATAAGCTTCAAGACAATTTTCATTACGTTCTGGTATTTACTGAAGATCTATGGAAAACCCGAAACCAACCTAGAAGGACTGAAATTTGAGGTCATCAAATATCGATGCTAAAACAATGTTTCATTACTATCTAGTTGGAAGTTAGTAGTTTACATTTCTAAATCTGGTCAACTATGACATAATGGAATCAAGTCAAAATTATTAGGATTCTATACCATAATTGGATAATACAAGCAATTTATTTAATTGACTAGTATTAACATTTACTATAATAGACTGTTGTAATATACAACCTGAAAATGTGTCATTCTTGCCTTCTGATTGTGTTTTTTTATACTTTTCTCGAAAGTAACGTATAATTACGCGTAAAATTAGGAGTACAAGAATGTTACTGATGTGACAAATTAGTTATTCCTTTGAAAACAAACCATGAAAAATACATAAATAGAGTGTGTGTGTGAGAGCGAAAATTCGACAACACACTTGCCTATATTTCTTTCAGTTCGTTTTGGTACATTTTTAAACTGTAGAGAAAAATAAATGATAATCAGTTATTTACACATCATGCTGATTTGTCATTCTCATTATGACGATACAAGATTACAGTAATGTAGTCAGGAGTGTAATATGAGGGAAAACTTATATGCCAGGAAATATAAAAATCCAGGTGTAGGTTACTACTACGTGATTTTTTTAAAGTCAAATGATGGGAAGAGGTATAACAAAGACAGAGAAAGGTAGATAATGTCAAATCATGAATCATTGTTATAAATGAAACAAGGAGAAAGGAAACACTTGTCGTAATGAAAATATGTTGTCTTAGTGTATAATGTGTAATGGTTAGTCATAACCTATAGCCTAGTAGAAATGTATTTTGACCCGTGTTGTCATTTGAGCACATGAGATAAAATTAACAAGATATGTAGCATAAAAAATCGAAATAATGCATTGGCAATAATAATATGAAAGACTAATCACTAGGATTATGGTTTGAAGAGAGAAAAGGGAAAGTTCTGAATCAAGGAATAAATGGTGAATTAAGGCCATTGTGAATTATTCTGAAACATGTTACCCATTATGTCCAACCATTGGTCACGGTTATCTTACAGACGCCAACCAGGTGGTCTGCATTTACCAATATGGCTCATTAACAGTCTGATTTAATGGATCAATCGAACGTTTTTCTAAGTTCACCCTTGCGTATCGTGATGACTAAGTGGGACTTTATTGACTGAGACACTTGTTCCTTTAGGTCTCACCTTACTAAACAGGTTCGTTAAAGAGCGGTAAGATCAGAGCCATCAGTCTCATGATCTGACTGCGAATTCGTACTGCCGATTGTATGTAGGTGTGACAGCAGTCAGGTGTTTTCCTCAGACAAACAGCCTCTGTACCGGTATTATCTTCCTATAACGTCAGGAGAGGGATAGAATAAGTCTACTTCAAACATAAAAAATACAGATTTCTTGTACCGTATGTAAGGTTTTAAAAGTGCGGGGCTAGCATATCAAGCGCTATTCGTCAAGAAACTATGTATGACCATTGCCAAACGGCTGAACTTTAGGCTTTGCGGTCGCTCTCTTAAGTTATCAAAACCAGTGATAAATCTAGTTCCTTTCCAAGTATCTCAAGAACTAACGACTGCCCTTATATCACTGATAGCAGTCACAACCACCACATTCATAATCAAACTCCATCTTCATTACATTACGTTGAATGACTAAACTGATGAATGAAGATATAATATGTGACAAATACATCAAATAACTAATACCTCAGTATCAAAGTCCACATGATATATAATACTATATAACATAACTCAGGCTGCTGTTTGGATGACACCATTAGCAATATGCGGTTGCTGTTGAAAGAAAATTCGACTTATACTGTTAATAATCGAATCTATTGTTTTGGTAATACTACTATCTACATATCCAGTAGTCTGAGTCAAAACATGTAATATTTGAGCGTTTCAAAAACATCCACTCAACAATCTATAGAATTTCCATAATTTTCAAGTAAAACACTTCAGATTGTAATGTTATATTTGTGATTTCGAGAATGATTCCATAGTTTTGAAAGAATAAGTCCTTAAACAAAGCAATGCATAATTTTAATTTATATATATTGGTTATTTGCATTTCCCCACTGATGTTCACAACTGCATACTGAATTCTATTGACAGCCAACACCCACCATTATCAATACTAGTAAATTACACTAAGTTTATTTTATTAAAATAATTATTATCAGATATTTATTACTATGAATCTTTCACGTACCTGGGAAGCATAGTCGATGAACAAGGAGGATCAGATGCAGATATAAAGGTGAGGATTGACAAAGCAAGGGCCGCATTCCTACAATTGAAGAACATATAGGACTCAAAACAACTGTCAGTCAATATCAACGTCATAATCTTCAGTACGAACGTCAAGATAGCTAAGTCTACTATACGGAGCTGAAACGTGGAAAACTACCACAGCCATTATCAAGACGGTTCAAGTATTTATAAATGGTTGGTTACGTAAGATACTCAACATCCATTGACCGGATACCGTCAGCAACAGACCTCTATGGGAGAGGACAAACCAGCTTCCAGCTGAAGAGGAAATTGGAAAAAGACGTTGGAAGTGGATAGGTCATAGATTTCGGAAATCACCAAACTGCATCACGAGGCAAGCCCTAATTTGGAATCTTGAGAGGAAACGGAAAGGAGGAAGGCCGAAGAACACATTACGTCGGTAAATAGAAGCAGATATGAAAAGCATAAATAACAACTGGAAAGGATTTCTCAGGAAAGGGTTGGAGAGAGAGTGCTCGTGGGCAGCCTATGCTCCTCCACGAGGAGTAACAGGAGTAAGTAATTTGTTACTATGACTTGACTTGAGAATTTCATGATGGATTCAGCATTAGGTAGATGATTAAAAATATAAGTAACCTATTCTTAACATTCAAATGTATAGAGAAATTAAATTTTCTGATGTTTTCTGAATCAATATAAGCCAATTATTTATTGTCTGAAGAAGTGGATTAAACTATGTCAAAAAAACTAGAAAATTTCATTTTCTTAAATATTTCAATGTGATAAATATATCGTGTTTATGTAATTATTGTTACATAATGCCATTGTATATACAAGAATTTATCACATATTTTCAGTCTTAAATTATGAATATAAAGATTGATATAAAAGCAGCTAAATCGATAAAATTCAATTGACTCATGATTTCAACAAGTGAAATTTCTAAAAAAATCCCCACAAAACCCATTCTGATAATAATAATCACCTGTTCACTAGTGACTTACTTCAGGAGACACTCCTGGAGTTCTAGTGAGTAGTCGTTTCTAGTGGAGTT